ATTTTCTCATCCTACATCCCGCAAGCATTCTGCTGGCATGTTGGCGCTCTGACGGCTACGGCACGAGCAAGTGCGTCAATGATTTGGCGGGCATTTCGTGTGGAGCCCACGGCGGCGCTTGTAGACGAAAGCACTTCAGAGCGATCTTTTGCGCAGTAACCACTGGCACGCAGCGAACCGGTTCTCGCCACGACACCCCATGAGCACCCATGATAAGCAGGCATAGTCGCCATGTACCACTGCTGACCCGCTACCCCACATATGCGATCATTCTCGGAGATCTTCTTCATGCACCATCAACACACTAGCCGATACGCTCAAGCCTAAGCCACTCTATACAGCTGCCTGCAACTGCGGCCAACGCCTGCTTCCGCTGGGCTCACGCCCTCTCCTCTCAAAATAAGCTAAGCCAAATGCGCTGCCACTCCTGTTACTGTCAGTCGCATCTACACTTTCCCATTTGCCCTCGAAAATCATTAGTTTCACAATGTGAGCAGTTCAGTTCATGGGGGTTGAATCCATTGATCTCTCCTTATTCCCACGACGGAACTAGAATCTCGAGAAGGCTCCTGCACCCGACAATTCAAACGTTCCTAGGCTAGGCACGTGTCTCAATTCACAAGTCGCCGCTGAAAACAGCTCCTCATCTGGATCCGCGTCTGCACTAATCGCCCAGCGTACTTCCTCTTGCTTTGGTACAACGAGAATTCCCACTGAATTATTTATTTACCGTGTTCCGATGGTTTGTCGATTCCTCAAGCATCCCAATATGTTCCGTTCAATTCATTGACGTGCCACGCCGACTGAGTGCCCGCCCTGTCAAAATGATGCATTTTCTCATCCTACATCCCGCAAGCATTCTGCTGGCATGTTGGCGCTCTGACGGCTACGGCACGAGCAAGTGCGTCAATATTTTGGCGGGCATTTCGTGTGGCGCCTACGGCGGCGCTTGTAGACGAAGGCACTTCAGAGCGATCTTTTGCGCAGTAACCACTGGCACGCAGCGAACCGGTTCTCGCCACGACACCCCATGAGCACCCATGATAAGCAGGCATAGTCGCCATGTACCACTGCTGACCTGCTACCCCACATATGCGATCATTCTCGGAGATCTTCTTCATGCACCATCAACACACTAGCCGATACGCTCAAGCCTAAGCCACTCTATACAGCTGCCTGCAACTGCGGCCAACGCCTGCTTCCGCTGGGCTCACGCCCTCTCCTCTTAAAATAAGCTAAGCCAAATGCGCTGCCACTCCTGTTACTGTCAGTCGCATCTACACTTTCCCATTTGCCCTCGAAAATCATTAGTTTCACAATGTGAGCAGTTCAGTTCATGGGGGTTGAATCCATTGATCTCTCCTTATTCCCACGACGGAACTAGAATCTCGAGAAGGCTCCTGCACCCGACAATTCAAACGTTCCTAGGCTAGGCACGTGTCTCAATTCACAAGTCGCCGCTGAAAACAGCTCCTCATCTGGATCCGCGTCTGCACTAATCGCCCAGCGTACTTCCTCTTGCTTTGGTACAACGAGAATTCCCACTGAATTATTTATTTACCGTGTTCCGATGGTTTGTCGATTCCTCAAGCATCCCAATATGTTCCGTTCAATTCATTGACGTGCCACGCCGACTGAGTGCCCGCCCTGTCAAAATGATGCATTTTCTCATCCTACATCCCGCAAGCATTCTGCTGGCATGTTGGCGCTCTGACGGCTACGGCACGAGCAAGTGCGTCAATATTTTGGCGGGCATTTCGTGTGGCGCCTACGGCGGCGCTTGTAGACGAAGGCACTTCAGAGCGATCTTTTGCGCAGTAACCACTGGCACGCAGCGAACCGGTTCTCGCCACGACACCCCATGAGCACCCATGATAAGCAGGCATAGTCGCCATGTACCACTGCTGACCCGCTACCCCACATATGCGATCATTCTCGGAGATCTTCTTCATGCACCATCAACACACTAGCCGATACGCTCAAGCCTAAGCCACTCTATACAGCTGCCTGCAACTGCGGCCAACGCCTGCTTCCGCTGGGCTCACGCCCTCTCCTCTTAAAATAAGCTAAGCCAAATGCGCTGCCACTCCTGTTACTGTCAGTCGCATCTACACTTTCCCATTTGCCCTCGAAAATCATTAGTTTCACAATGTGAGCAGTTCAGTTCATGGGGGTTGAATCCATTGATCTCTCCTTATTCCCACGACGGAACTAGAATCTCGAGAAGGCTACTGCACCCGACAATTCAAACGTTCCTAGGCTAGGCACGTGTCTCAATTCACAAGTCGCCGCTGAAAACAGCTCCTCATCTGGATCCGCGTCTGCACTAATCGCCCAGCGTACTTCCTCTTGCTTTGGTACAACGAGAATTCCCACTGAATTATTTATTTACCGTGTTTCGATGGTTTGTCGATTCCTCAAGCATCCCAATATGTTCCGTTCAATTCATTGACGTGCCACGCCGACTGAGTGCCCGCCCTGTCAAAATGATGCATTTTCTCATCCTACATCCCGCAAGCATTCTGCTGGCATGTTGGCGCTCTGACGGCTACGGCACGAGCAAGTGCGTCAATATTTTGGCGGGCATTTCGTGTGGCGCCTACGGCGGCGCTTGTAGACGAAGGCACTTCAGAGCGATCTTTTGCGCAGTAACCACTGGCACGCAGCGAACCGGTTCTCGCCACGACACCCCATGAGCACCCATGATAAGCAGGCATAGTCGCCATGTACCACTGCTGACCCGCTACCCCACATATGCGATCATTCTCGGAGATCTTCTTCATGCACCATCAACACACTAGCCGATACGCTCAAGCCTAAGCCACTCTATACAGCTGCCTGCAACTGCGGCCAACGCCTGCTTCCGCTGGGCTCACGCCCTCTCCTCTCAAAATAAGCTAAGCCAAATGCGCTGCCACTCCTGTTACTGTCAGTCGCATCTACACTTTCCCATTTGCCCTCGAAAATCATTAGTTTCACAATGTGAGCAGTTCAGTTCATGGGGGTTGAATCCATTGATCTCTCCTTATTCCCACGACGGAACTAGAATCTCGAGAAGGCTCCTGCACCCGACAATTCAAACGTTCCTAGGCTAGGCACGTGTCTCAATTCACAAGTCGCCGCTGAAAACAGCTCCTCATCTGGATCCGCGTCTGCACTAATCGCCCAGCGTACTTCCTCTTGCTTTGGTACAACGAGAATTCCCACTGAATTATTTATTTACCGTGTTTCGATGGTTTGTCGATTCCTCAAGCATCCCAATATGTTCCGTTCAATTCATTGACGTGCCACGCCGACTGAGTGCCCGCCCTGTCAAAATGATGCATTTTCTCATCCTACATCCCGCAAGCATTCTGCTGGCATGTTGGCGCTCTGACGGCTACGGCACGAGCAAGTGCGTCAATATTTTGGCGGGCATTTCGTGTGGCGCCTACGGCGGCGCTTGTAGACGAAGGCACTTCAGAGCGATCTTTTGCGCAGTAACCACTGGCACGCAGCGAACCGGTTCTCGCCACGACACCCCATGAGCACCCATGATAAGCAGGCATAGTCGCCATGTACCACTGCTGACCCGCTACCCCACATATGCGATCATTCTCGGAGATCTTCTTCATGCACCATCAACACACTAGCCGATACGCTCAAGCCTAAGCCACTCTATACAGCTGCCTGCAACTGCGGCCAACGCCTGCTTCCGCTGGGCTCACGCCCTCTCCTCTCAAAATAAGCTAAGCCAAATGCGCTGCCACTCCTGTTACTGTCAGTCGCATCTACACTTTCCCATTTGCCCTCGAAAATCATTAGTTTCACAATGTGAGCAGTTCAGTTCATGGGGGTTGAATCCATTGATCTCTCCTTATTCCCACGACGGAACTAGAATCTCGAGAAGGCTCCTGCACCCGACAATTCAAACGTTCCTAGGCTAGGCACGTGTCTCAATTCACAAGTCGCCGCTGAAAACAGCTCCTCATCTGGATCCGCGTCTGCACTAATCGCCCAGCGTACTTCCTCTTCCTTTGGTACAACGAGAATTCCCACTGAATTATTTATTTACCGTGTTTCGATGGTTTGTCGATTCCTCAAGCATCCCAATATGTTCCGTTCAATTCATTGACGTGCCACGCCGACTGAGTGCCCGCCCTGTCAAAATGATGCATTTTCTCATCCTACATCCCGCAAGCATTCTGCTGGCATGTTGGCGCTCTGACGGCTACGGCACGAGCAAGTGCGTCAATATTTTGGCGGGCATTTCGTGTGGCGCCTACGGCGGCGCTTGTAGACGAAGGCACTTCAGAGCGATCTTTTGCGCAGTAACCACTGGCACGCAGCGAACCGGTTCTCGCCACGACACCCCATGAGCACCCATGACAACCAGGCGCAGGCGCTACGTACCCCCACAGAATTTGCGCATATCTGCACAACTGAAAATTTCCTTCGTTTTCTCGTATTCCTGTGTGGTGCTTCAGCTTGACGCAGATATTCGTTCGTAGCTCCCCACGCAGAACAAGTGCAATCAAGACGTTGCTTGTATTGCATAGGTATTTTATCTGTGGTTTAGTCATTCTTGGACTCCAACGGGAATGGAATCCAATCTACGAACCCATTTAAGATGCACGAAAGCATTAGAAACCCCTATTTGCAGTCTGCCGCGATGGATGTCAACGACGTGCATCCTGCAGAGGCCAACGCACTTGACCGTTATGTCTTAGAGCTTTAGCGTGATGGTGAGATACAAAAAGCAATACAAGGAGACAGGCAAATGGCTCAACACAAAACCCCTGAAATGCACGGCAGCAGGAGAGATAAGGAAGGGAAAACAGACGTAAATAATTACACACCCAGAGTAAACTGCAAAAGAGAGAAAATCAGGGGAGGAGAAGGTCAGGACAGGGGACAAAGAACAGCAATAACGCACAAGGAGGCATAGACAAAGCAGCCGCTGCGAGCAAAATGCGCCCTGGTCGCAGCACAGCCGCCAGAGCAACAGCTCAAAAGCAGCATCACAGCCTTCGCAATGTTCACAAAGCAGCAGAAAAATAACAGTAACAGCAGCACCACCAGCTTGGCAGCTGCAGCTGCGATACCGTCACTGCAGAAGCAGCGCTAAAGGACACTAGAGCAGCACCACAAAGGAAGGACTACCACAAACACAGCAACACCAGCACCACTAGATTAGCAGCACTGGGGCAAAGCAAATATCACCTCAAGCATAGCAAGACAGCTTCGAAAGTATCCTCAGCAATTCCAGAGCACAGCAAGCAGCAGCACCATAGAAGCGCCGTACCCACAGCAGTTCCGCTCCAGCTGCGGCGGCGCAGCAGCATCACATTGTCGAAAGGGAGAGGTTGCACAGCACAATCCACAACAGCTGCACCACTTAAAAGCACCCGACAGCCGCATATCAGCAGTGCCATCGTTCTGGCGGAAGCAATAGCGTTACAACACATAGAGCAGCAGTGCGATTAATACAGCAGCACCACCCCCGCCACGAGAGCAGCCGCCAAAAAGCCACAGCAGCGAGATACGCTATCCAAAATCGTGCCAGTTCAAACCGTGTGCTACTGCTTGGCTTCTTTTCGGCCCGTCGCTTCGTCAGCTCACATCGCAAGGGTTTTCTGCAGAGCGACCAAGGCGGCGGACGCGCAAATTTGGGTTGTAACCCATGGTTCTTTCACCTTGATTGAGGGCCCGGTAACACTGCAGTACACCAAATACAACAGCTACCACGGCTAGGATCAAAGACGTAAGCGCCAACAGAGCTGCGGGGCGCAACCGTTCCGAACCTTTTGCTGCTGCCCGAGAACTGTGTAGGTCGTTCAGCAGCAGCGCTTCCTTTTGCTGCGACTGCGCGTCCTCGTTGAAGTGGAGAGCAGGCAGCCCCACTCTTTGCCCGGTCATTGCTGTTTCTTCTGAAAGTGGCCGAGATCCTGATGCAGGAACCGCGGCTGCTGCTGCCGATGCAGCGAGAGACAGTAGTAACAAGTTGTGACGCATTGTAGAAATGCTGTTTGTGAAGTGTTGCGAGGATGTGCTATTCTGGGTACGGTTTTGCTGCAACTAAGAATGCTATTCAGCAGAGTACGATGAAATGAATAAACCAGTGAGATGCCGACTGCGATTAATTACTGGGCCGATGCAACACCTAGTGGACCAATGTCTCGGTTGGCACTAGGCTGCTGCGCTACCAGACGTGTTAATGCGTTTGCCCCGCTTCGCCCCAGTTTCAGCTAATTTTGTCCCCTTTAACTGACTCAGTGCCAACTTAATTTGATGATTTTGATAAATCAAACAGCTAATTAGGTGCATATGCATCAACAGCAACGGCTGACCACCATGCTGCATGTCTGCTGTGGGCTCTGCAAACAAAGGGCGGACTGGATCTGGGAAATATGTCTGTCTCTTCCTACTGCTCACAATGCGAGCACCACTCTATATTCAGAGGCTTAGTATGTGAACGGCAATTTTCTGCTATCTGTATTGTATTCATGCTTGTCTTCGCACTTGGATAGGCATCGACTCCTGACGCCAAGCACCTGCACAGATTCGTCATCTAGAACACCCACAGTTACCTCAGGTTTGAAGATACTCTTTGCACGCTACTTTTATGTGTTCTCTACGAAGTTCCTGATTAGCCGTCAAATTCTATCACAATGCCTTAAAGCATGTGCTCTGGTCGCAACGCAGGACGCCCGACCGTACCATTCTACTACAGCCCGTTTTACACAAGTTCCCTACAACCATTACAGTGCGACTGCAGCATGAGCGGGCTTGCGGCTTGGCCTTATGGAATCAAAAATCGACAGTGAATCGCAAGTGAATGTAGGGGGGCGCAGCTCGAACTTGCGTTAGAGTTGAATGTAACAGTTACTCATGTCTCGGTGATGCACATATATTGCGTGCAGTGGATACGCGCGAGTTGCGCAAGCCCCCAAGAATAGATAAAAGAACAAATGTGAATGTAAGTGCGTCCCTTCTGATGCGTATCTCATGATTTGTTCTGTGACGCTAAGCAGAGCACTAAACAGCAAGCCACTAGAAGCTGCACTCCCTAGAAGCAAGCTGGCCGTATCCTAGCACTTTCCAAGCAAACTAAGATTTCTACTTGCTTCGTTTGAGCAAAAATTTGTACAATTTTGGCGAGCAAGGCCGTTTTTGACTGCTTATAGTGTTCTCTACTATTCTGGAGCCGCAGGTTTCGTAGGCACAGTTCGCGCAGCCGACGAGATGTGCCTGCAGGCATGGTGCTGTGTATAAGGCACACACACCATGCTACGCAAAAATTTTTTCAGTGGCTCTATTCTTGGCAGTGTCGCAGCTGCAAGTAAGGACATCAGTTCCTTATTTTCCAGAAGGTGTCTTCTGCCCTAGCACAAGGCAGTGGAACTTATATTTGCTTCAAGCGCTATAGGGCGAAATGTTTTCGCCTGGGTTTGGTGCACTTTTGGCAAAGCCGGAGTCTGTCGACGTCTTCATTATGTTGGCGATACTTTCATTCTGTTGGCGATACTTTTATTATGCTGGCTGTATGAACTTAGGAACGATCCCAAACTCAGTCTTTCTGCACTAAGTAAAGCATGAAACAGAACAAGAACCTAGAGGGAATGATAAAGGGTTCTGGGCGGTTGTTACCGCCTTTGTGAAGGAGCCTAAGCAAAACAAACCTAGGGTGAAGGCAGAAAGAAACGCCCGAATCGTAAAACATTAACCAAAGTATTGCGGAGTATTTCATCTTGAAAGACGAAAAGCCGAAAATATGAAGCTTTACAAGCATGCTAAAGATTGTATTTGGGCAGTGCAGTCTCTGCTGAAAGCATGTCCTTCAGAAGATGGGAGCTGACATCATGAGCCTTGACAGCAGTATCAGCACACACATAAAAGCCATATAAAAGGCCAAACCCGTCAAAGCCTCTTTGGAAAGCAAAAGCACACGTGTAAACGTAACCACAAAATACAGGAAAGAAAGAATTGAAGCCCACAAATCACCGAAACAGGGGCTGCAAATCATCACCAACTAATTTCTCTTATTAATTCTGAACGTAAAACTCTAAATTTTAATACCAGGCCTCCATGCCTCGAGTCATGGATTTCATAGCCTTAGATTCTGGGCATTATCGAGGGATTCTGAAGCCCTAATCATTAGTCTCGAGTATATGATGGGTATTGCTGATGGGAGAGCCGTGGCCGCTTTTTCATTCGGGCTCTACAAGAAACGAAAGGGAAGACAAAAGCATAATTCGCAGCGTTTCTCCCCATTTCTTCTCCATGCTCTGTCAGCTCAAGTTTTTTATTATGTGCAAAAACCTCCAAGCAACTCAAACTCCAAGAAGTTTGAAGCAAATGACGGAATCTTCCTGGAGTAGCTGCGATGTTCTTTGAATGCACCACGGTTGCTGGAAAATAAAACGGTATGGAACAGTACTTGCATAGATGCTTCATAAAAATAGCGCTTGCTCATTAAAGGTTGGAAAACTTTCCTTGCTGTGTACATATCTGCCCGATCAGTTGAAGAGTCGGATACAACGAGCCCATCTAGAGCTCACGGGGTCAACAAGCTCATCTAGAGCTCACGGGGTTCGGCTCGAAGCCGACTCGCCGACTCACTTACTTCATATGCACATAACAGAGTGCCGACAAATTCATGAAGAAGCAGGCTATAGATCTGTGCAGTTCTAATTGCTATTTTTGTACGTTCATCTGCTGCATGTACCAGAAAACATGTTGATTCATCTCATACGTTCTTCCATTGTCAAAGCTGCCAATTTTTTAAGCCATTGTGCGCTCACAATTGCAACAAATCCGCTTTGCTCCTCATATTCAGGGGCCTCGCTGCTGAGGGTTCTCCAAAGTTTCATATATGCAGTACTGCATCAACATTTGCTTACATTGCTCACCTTTGAACGAAAAATCCTTTGAGTCGTTCCCTTGAGAGCTGATCCCGTCGTAATCGTTGATGACAACAAATCCTGTCACGATGAAATAGACACCGCTTCCTGTATGTGCGCAGTGTAGCACAATTTTAAGATATGTATTTTCTGGCAGTTGGCAACAGGACAAAACTTAAATGCGTTATAAAGCCCAAAGCAACAAACGCAGTGTCCAGTGATCTGCATCTACGCACGCAAACGTATATCAGCATGGGCATGCCAGAAATGATGCATTGCACAGAGGTAAGCCAAACGCACTGAAAGCACAAGCTGCAGTTCTTTGTCCTTAACCCCTTAAGCAATGCTTTGCTCATATCTCTCACATCAGATCTGCTCAGCCTTTTCTCTTTGCTCCCCCAACAAGAGGTGAACACTCGTACTTGCTTGAGTATCGTCAAAACTATTCAAAAAGACACGGGCTCAGTTGTACGTTCGTTAGCTGCAGCAAAATGAACCGGGGTGCTTTCATTTCTCAGATACACAGGCAAAGGTAAAGATGACCCAAAGCAACCATCCACATCAGCACAGACATGTGGAGCTGCGATGGCTACCTTGACACGGGAAAAAATAAAGCATGCGTTCAGTGAGGGAGCCTTCCTGTCAAATTTGATAATGTATAGTTCCAAAGCTGAACAGTGGCTCATGTGGTATCTGTGACGAGCAAAAGTCGCTTCACATGACAGGTGGAATATCCGCGCGAAACACACTATTGCCCCGGCAAAGGGATACTGTGAAGACCGCTACTAGGCGAACGCTAGCGCTAGTCTCGATAAAATGCCCTTAGTAAGTAACGTTTGTGGTCACCAGCATGCAGAAGCGCTCACACCAAATGGTTTAGTAGCAGTGCGAGTAACGACAATTCGACAATTCTAGTCTGCAGCGTTCTCCGATGCAAGGGTCACAAATTGTGGGGCACTGTTGTTCGTTACAGGGGGGCCGAATTTACTAAATGCCACCATAGGTGGACCACAAGTGTGTATGTGGCAATAAAGACACTGAAAGCAAACAACGGAAAACCCGGCGACATGCTGCGAGCTCTGTTCATTAAAGGTGTAGGGTCACTTATAAGGAGTAGGGCTGCCCCCATGTCAAATCCTAGGGTTTGGCATTTCGCCAAGTGAGCTTTACTGATTTCGGCCGCGACGCGGCAGGTGCGCAGTTGAGCGAAGGGGCAAGCACGAATAAAGAGCCAAACGGAGCTAGTGGGGCGAGTACGATAGACAGAGAAGACAGCAGCTGCAGCCATAGAGAGCTTCACTAACCCTACCATGCAGCGATCATTGTACAAACTAACTTTCCGACACAAAGCCACGATAAATGCTAGCGGCTCCTGCCAAAAGCTTGCATACATCCCACTTTTGATTTCTGACTTAAGTTTCTACATGCTTCAAAGTGCTTATGCAGGCAGCTTCATGTGTTTGCCTTGCACACAAGGCAAGGTCGGCTGTGCCATTTTGACCTTTCCATCTAATGATTTCCCGAAAACCGAATTAGGTTTCACTTAATGGGCGTGCTTCTGCCACACAGATACCTCTGCACACTGCCTACGCACTTCCTGGTTTAGACAAAGAATGCATGAAGCACGAATGCGCATGTACGCGCTACTGAGTCTCTGTAACGTACTTCCACACCCAGACACTCTAAATGGTCAAAACGTATGGAAAAGGGCAATAACTAACTGTATCTGTATTTTCTGTTGAATTTTTCGTCACATCTCCAGCGTGACGGTCTGATGCAACTGTCATGTTTCTGTATGCTCCTCCAAAGCGCCCGAAACAGAAGTAAAAGCACGAATCGCGAACAAAGAGGGTCTTCAATCGCACTGCAGAGTGAAGTCCTGCATGCAGCAAAGGCACGCCTCTTAGTGCCCAAAAGGGCGTATGAGCGACGTCCTATGGAAATTTTACTTAAAATTACAACCCGCACAGTGCTTCCAAAGCCTGGTCAATGCTGTGCAGAAGTCCGTGTGGTCGCTTTGTTCTAAAAATATGATGCATAGTCTGCTCTTATCAGCACACGTTCCAAACACAAGGCTGCGGTCAGAAATACTTTCGTGCTTGATTAGCAGAA